TACCCAAGATCTTCTGAGCAGCTCCCAAATCCTTCATCTCAAACTCAGCACTGAGAAGCCCCTATAACTTCTGGATATCATACTTTGACCTCGCAGCTATGAGCATATCATCCACATACAGAACTAGATATATCATCGAACCATCCTCTGCCTTGTTGTGATATACACAACAATCATATGGACTTCTGTTGTAGCCCAGCTCAAGCATGTAACTGTCAAATCTCTTGTACCAATGCCTCGGAGATTGCTTAAGTCCATACAAGGACTTCTTCAACTTACAAATATAGTCTTCTTTTCCCGGAACCTCGAATCCTTCTGGCTGAGTCATGTAAATTTCTTCTTCCAACTCTCCACGTAGGAAAGCTGTCTTCACGTCTAGCTGCTCGAGCTCCAAGTCATAATGTGCCACTATTGCTAGTAGCACTCTGATCGAAGTATGTCTGACCACTGGTTAGAAAATCTCATTGTAGTCAACTCCTTCCCTCTGCGAGAAGCCTCGTGCAACCACCCGAGCTTTAAATTTCATGCCCTCTTTAGAAGTGATTCCATCCATCTTCTTGTAGATCCACTTGTTTGTAACAATCTTCCTTCCCTGTGGTCGTTTGACTAGCTCCCAAGTCTGATTCCTGTCATGGGATTCCATCTCATCTCCCATTGCGGCAAGCCACTGATCAGCTTCACCACCCGAAACTGCTTCTCTATAGGACTGTGGCTCTCCTGCATCCACTTCCTCAGCAACCTGAAATGAATACGCCACCATGTCCTCGAAGCCATACCTCTGTGGAGGTACTCCTGCAGTCGCTCTCTTCGGTCTACCGGAAGCAATAGACTGTTGAGCTCGTGCACTGGACTCTGAAGTTTCTGGCTCTGCAGAGACATCCTCATCATGTTGATCTTCTCCACCTTGGTGCTCAAACTCACTCTCATTGAGATTTTGCAGCTCCACCTGCTTATCAACATTCCTGCTACCTTCAGCAACAGTAACCTTCAACATGGGGTTAAACATAGACTTCTCATCAAATATCACATTTCTACTAAGTATAACTCGATGCTCAGAAGGTGACCAGACTCGAAATCCCTTAACTCCATCTCCGTAACCCACAAATACACCCTTCTTTGCCCTTGGGTTCAGTTTACCCTCATCCACATGATAATAAACAGGACACCCAAAAACTTTCAGTGAAGAGTAATCAGCAGGCTTACCATACCACACTTCATAAGGAGTCTTACACTCGATACCTGTGTGTGGTCCACGGTTGATCAGGAAGCACGCCATGTTTACTACTTCTCCCCAGAATCTTCTCTCTAGTCCAGCATTAGAGAACATGCATCGTGCTCTCTCCAACAATGTCTGGTTCATCCTTTCTGCAACGCCATTCTGCTGGGGTGTATCTCTAACAGTCCGATGACGGGCAATCCCTTCATCCTTGCAGAATTCGTTGAACTCAGAACTGCAGAACTCCAGACCATTCTCCGTTCGCAGCTTCTTGATCTTCTTACCGGTCTGATTCTCCACCAATGTCTTCCACTGCTTGAACTTCGTGAAAGCCTCACTTTTCTGCTTCATCATGAAAATCCAAGTAAATCTCGAATAATCATCAATAATAGACAGAAAATACATGCTGCCTCCAATGGATTCAACTCGTCAAGGACCCCAACAGTCAGAGTGGAGGTAATCTAGTATCCCCTTCGTCCGGTGGATACCCTTCTTGGGAAACTTGCTGCGATGTAGCTTCCCAAACACACAATGCTCACAGAATTCCAAATTCTGCACCTTGTGCCCGCAAAGAAGATCCCTCTTCGATAGAACTTGCATCCCCCGTTCACTCATATGCCCCAGTCTCATGTGCCAGAGAGTGGTCATATCTTCCTGTTGAACCTGAGACGATGCAACTGCAGAAGAACCAGACAACACAGACCCTTGTAATGCATACAAGGTCCCACGCTTCACGCCCTTCTGTACCTTCCTCGAACCCTTGCAGACATACACAACTCCACCTTTTCCTTTGAAGCTGAAACCCTTGCTGTCGAGTAGACTTAAGGAGATCAGGTTCTTTGTCATTCGTGGAACATGCCTGACATCATTCACGGTACAGAATGAACCATCATGTGTTCGAACCTTTATGGACCCGATTCCAACAACCTTGCAGACAGCTCCATTAGCCATGACCACGTTACCACCATCTATCTGCTCATAGGTTGTGAAGCAATCCCTGTTCGGAGACATATGATATGAGGCTGCAGTATCCAGAAACCACACATCAGCACGATGTGCCTTCTCATCTACAGCCAAGGCGAGATCGTCTTCAGAACTGTTGTCCACTTCTGCCACGGCAACTGAACCTTGTTTCTTCAGTTGCCCTCTTCTCTTGGGATAGTTGTACTTCCAATGCCCCACTTCCTTACAGTTGTGACAAGCATCACCTGGCTGTGGACCGGGACCCTTGGAATTCTTGCTCGAATTCCCTTTTCCAGATTTCTTCTTTCCCTTTCCACCTGTAACAGCCAAACCCGATGCCTCACCACCTGTACCAGATCCGGACGCCTTATGTCTGATCTCTCTCGTATGAAGAGCAGACCTGACATCCTCCAACGACACGCTTTCTTTACCAGCAATAAAAGAATCAACAAAATTCTCATATGAACTCGGCAAAGAAACCAGTAGGATTAGGGCAGCATCCTCGTCATCAACTTGAACATCTATATTACGCAGATCCAGCAAAATAGAGTTAAGTTGTTCGAGATGTTCCCTCAAAGGCGTACCTTCTTGCATCCTCAAGCTGAACAACCGTTGCTTGAGATGCAGCTTGTTGGTTAGAGACTTAGTCATGTACAGACTCTCTAGTTTCAACCACAAGCCCGCGACAGTCTTCTCAGCAGCGACTTCAATGATGACGTCATCAGACAACGATAGCATGATGGTCGAGTGGGCCTTCTCCTCCAGGGTATTCCACTCATCGTCATCGACCGCTGCCTTCTTCTGTTTCGCAGACAGCGGCCCCCACAGCCCTTGCTGTTTTAATAAAGCCTGCATCTTGATCTGCCATATAGCGAAGCTGTTCTTCCCCGTGAACTTTTCGATCTTCATGTTCACCGACGTCATTCTTCTGAATCGAAAACCCTAGCCTGATTTCCAGCCGCGGCTCTGATACCACTTGTTATAAACGCGCTGCTACGGATCGGAAAATCGCCGGAATCGACAAAGCAAGAATACGAAAGCGAGAATCAAAAACACGACACACGATTTACGTGGTTCACTAACACGATGTGTGTTAGCTACGTCCACGGGCGAGAGAGAGCCGATTTCACTATATCAAGGAGATTACAGATTACAGAGGAGTATGAGAAGTATTTATAGTACTTCTCCATGTGGGTCTAAACCTAATCCAATCTGGCAAAGGAAACGGTTACAGACCAGGCCCAGAACCCGAACCCAAATGACAGCGAGACCCCCGATTACCAGTCGTAGCGGCTGATAATCCGATTCAAGTCATATCAACAGTCACAAAAGCAATGTTTATAAAATGGTGAAAGAATGTGGATGGCTTGTTCTTGTTGTGTCAAAATCCGTTAGAGACTAGGAAGCATATCTTCTTCAAATGCTCCTCCCTTTTTTGTATATGATATGTGTAGGAGGAAGACAATAGCATGGAGGTTAACAAATCTGGTATGGTGTTCGAGTAGTGTCGTATTATGGAAGGAACGTTGTCGACGATTGCATGGAGAGACACCTAAAAACATGTTTAGTTGGATTTCTATTTTTTGTTGTGAATCAGATTTGCACAACAGGGACCAAATTAGAGAAACAACAATTTATTGCTTTGGATCTGATTCTTGTACTTGTTTTACACGGGTTTCCTACTGGTTGAGAATCTGTTTTCATTAAACCAATCCACAATTTGAATCCCACCTCAACCAACATTTCATCTTTTTTTTACCCCAAACCTTCTACCCTCTTATTTCTCCCAAACCTACGCACAACAGCTCCCCCCAAACCCTCTACCCTTTCCCCCAGCCGCCTCATCGCCAACCTCACACCCACCCTCCCGCCGGCTCTCTTTCCCCTCACCGCGCACCGGCCGCGCCAGCCGCCAGCAGATACCCCGCGCCGCCGGCTCCCTTTCCCCTCCCCGCGCGACCACCCTCCCGCCGGCTCCGACCCTCCCGCCGCGAGGACCATCCCGCCATATCTCTCTTTTTTTGTTGAGGACATATCTCTGTTTTTTGGTTTTTAGTTCTTATAGTAGTAACTAAACGTGTTTTTGTTTCTTGTTGTCAGCTTTCATGATTTTTCAAATTTATCAACTAAACAGGTTTGTGTTTTCTGTTTTTTTCCTGTTGTGGTTGTGCATTTGTTTACACAACACCACTGCAACCACAACAGCAACAAAATGATACTAAACTGGGCCTAAATCTATTGAGGAAATTGCAAAGCATCTTTCTATTGATTTGATAAACTTGAGTAGCAACAATGCAAGGTTGAGAGATGATGTGAGAGCTGCAAAGATTGGAGTGGATTAGAGGTAGACAACAACCTTTTGTAGAAGTTAGGGATAGACTCTTTAGGATTGCCCTTCTTTAGCTTTCTCATTCGTTCTAATCGATTTCCATTTGCACCTTGCAAATGGTTTGTGAAATGAGAACTGATTCAACAACAAAAATTCAAAGAGAATCCAAACAAATAATTTAATATTTAAAATATCAAATTCAAAATGCATAGGTGGTAATAATCAATTAGATAAGTTGGTGTAAAAAAAAAAAAAGAATAGATAAGTTCTGGTCCCTAGTGGATTTTCTATCCAAAGGAGAAAATGATAATTGGATTATAAGTAGATGTAGATCAGTCAATCAATTAAAAGCGAAAGCAGGGGGGTTGCTGTCAAGAAAGTTGATCCTATAAAATGGAAGTAACTACAAAGCGACCTGGTAATGGTAATTCAGTTATTACCACATATGGTCACCATATTTGCTTGCTGCTTGCTAGGCCATCCATCTGGTTTCTCTTTGGGTTTTTCTCCTATGGCTACTTCTTCTCTCAACACACACTCTCTCTCTCTAACCCACAGCCAACTGGCAACCTTGATTGATTTCACAAGCTGATAAAAATAAGGCCAAAGGGAGGGTCGAAAAGATAGAGCTAAGGACAAAACTAGTCTAGGATTTTCATTTTGATTCGTTTGGATTTTCCCTTTTCCCCATTACCCATTTCATTTACCCTCTCTCTCTCTCTCTCTCTCTCTCTCCCTCTCTCAATTTGCTTCCCCTGTTTCTCCTCTTATAAACAGAGCTAACCCAGAGCAAGTCACAGCTCCATCATCAAAAAACCCTTCACCAGCCCACTTCCATATTCCATTCTTTTCATTCAATTCCCCTCCTCCCCTGCTCTTGCTTTGCTTCCAAACTTGTAAAAATAGGAAAAGAAACAGAATAAGAAAAGATGGATGTGCCATCAGCTTCTCATTGCAGCAGCAGCGGTTGCGAGTCAGGGTGGACATTGTACTTGGACCAATCCTCCTTCTCCAATTACAACGACGGGAATCCGTACCAGAGCTATGCGGCCGGCTACACGGTGAATAACGATTCCGGTATAGGCAATTACGGCAGCCGCGCGAAGCTGCAGTACGAGGAGGAAGAAGAAGATTTGTCCATGGTTTCGGATGCCTCTTCTGGGCCTCCCACAGGTTACTATGACGAAGGAGAAGGTGAGGATTGCTGTAATAACAGAAGCACTGGCAGCAAGAAAAAGAACAGCAGTAGAAGCTGCCAGTCATTGCAGCAGAAACAGTTTCATCATCAGTATCTCGATGACACTGCTAGCTCCCCTGCGTTAAAGACCAAGGTAACAACAACCCCTGTTTCTGCCGCAAAACCCATTTTTCTTCTTCCGTGCGTTGGTCCTTTAATTCTCACCAGGTGAACCAAATTTTTTTTTTTTTTTTTTTCAGAAGCAATTGAACAAGAGCGATTCTTCAGCGGAGGAACTTTCACAAGGGTTTTCAGCAACACATTTTAAGGTACGATGCATGAGCATGTGCGAACTCGAGTTTTGGGTTGTGGTTTTGTTGAATTTCTCTACGGAGCTTCTGGGCAATGATTACATTATGTGTTAACCTAATTTTGGCTCTGAACTTTTTTTTTCTTTTTTTTCAGGGGAAGTCTCTACTGAAGAAGCACTTTGGGTTCTTCCATTCTTCTCAGTCGGTTTCAAAGGAAGCAGGTTGGGAATTGGAAGCTCAAAACCTTGCCTATCATTTCACCGTTTTTTTGTGATGATTGGGCAGGCAGTTGATGAAAAGTTTTGTTCATCGCTTTTCTTTCTATCTTTTCAGGTGGTTTTCCGGGGAGGAAGTGGAAATGACAAGTGATGGAAATGAGGCAGGGGAGCCCAAACCACCAAGAAAACAAAAAATTCAGAAATAAAAAAATTGGGAAGAACTGAAAGGAAAAAGTAAAAAAGAAAGAAAAAAAACATATCGATGTCAAAGAGATAGAGAAGTGTACCTTTTTCTTCTCTACTTGTCCATTTATCTATCTTTTATTCCATTCTTCCATTCCATTAATTTATTTTTCTTTACCTTCTTGTTTCTGTATCTATTCTGTCAATGTAGTTGGGAACAACCTGAACAAATCAAAGTTCCATTTAAGAAGAGAAAAAAATTGTCCCTAGGTATTTTCTTTTTTACTTTGATACCCACGTAAACGTTGCGTGATGAATATTGCATTTTACGTAATATAATTTACTATAACAAACGGAAAATGATTATTTCGTAAGTTAGGGAAGAAGAAGAAGAATGATGTGGAAACTGGAATGTGGTCCAGTGAAGAACAGAGTGTAATTAGGAAGAGAAATGGCGCCATTGAATGGCGCGGGGCATGCATATGCATTCGATATTAGTTCCAACCCCACACAACGGCGCACACACATGCACACAAATAAGAAGCGCCAAAGGAGAGATGGAGAAAAGGAAGAGGGGGGAAAAAAGGACGATCACTCTCTAGGCCTAATTCCAATCCTCATGAGAAAAGGACCAAATAGCTGACCATGCACACCTTGTTACCTGACCCACCTTCTGCATTTGCCAGCCTAGCCCCCTCTAAACTACCCTGGGTAGGTGACTTTGGCAAATCAGTTATTCCGAATACCGATACGTCTTAATATGGTTGATGTGTGCGCGCTTTTTTTTCTTTCTTTAAGCCAAGACAAACTCGAAGGGCATGGTATAAAATCGTCAATGTATGTTTTATTCATTTGCCGAATGATTTGGGCTGAAGCGTTCTTACGCGACAACCTCCTTAATCAAGAAAAATAGAGTAATTATTTTGAATCTTTTTCTTATGACGTGCGATCTCGACAAACTTAACTATTCAGACTCTCATGGATACTTAACTGAAGAGAGTGGTCAATTTGGCCATAGAATCTTACAAGTGGCCAACCACTGAAATTTTCGTCAAGAATTGTGGAACCGTACAAGCCTACCGATTTGGAATTCGGTGTCCGATATTCCTTATCAGCCCGGAGTGTAGGGTACACGGTTTCTCCAATCCTCTTGCTTTACCCACTTCAAAATTAAACTACCCAGAATGGCAGTTACTGAATTTTTTCAAAATGTAACATCATCATCATGTCCACATCTTTTACCCTTTGATAATAGTAAGCTCACCAAGAGGATGCTTTGGATTCTAGAGCCTCGCGAGATAAAAGAGGCCAAAGGCTGATGAAGAGAGCTTCCAGCCATGATTGCATGATGAATCCATCGTCACCCACCAGGCCACCACCCTGGCTGGCTGGCTGGCTGCTGTTCTAAGATGGGATGGATCATCATTCGTATTTCATGCATTAAACATAATACAAGTAGGGTATAACAAGAAGAAGAGGAAGAGGGTATGGCGAAAGGGGGAGAAAAGGAAACTATTTTCCTTGCCATGATATTGTGTGTTTCGTTGGTGTAGTTGTTTGAAGTGGTGGGGGTGGTGGCAATTATTGAATTTTGTTTCTGCTTGTGAGGGAGGTAGTCCCACTTTCCCCACCCTCAAAATTAGCACCATATCTTGGAAAAGGGCTTTAGATTTTAGCAAAACGACAACACCTCCCACCTGTCCTCTCCTTTCCTTTCCCCCTCTTGCCTATCTTCCTTTCCTAATTTTTTTCCTTCGATGCGCTTGTTATTGTTCTTGCTTCTATTCTCACGTAAAGAAGCACACAGTGACACACATCGTTAGGCTGTGAGAAGTTGCTGTGAATTAGTGGTGGCACAAATAGCCAAATTGTTGTGAGCACCATAGCCAAATTAAACTATACCCTAGTTGTATAGGATACCCTAGTTGTAGGGTTAATTGCACCTGACACCGTATAAGTATTGTTTTCGTAGCATACTAACCATATAATTTCTTTTAGTTGCAACAAAATCATACAAGTTGAGTTTCGGTTGCATCGTTTTAAACTATACCCTAGTTGTAGGGTTAATTGCACCTGATACCATATAAGTATTGTTTTCGTATCATACTAACCATATAAGTTCTTTTAGTTGCAACAAAATCACACAAGTTGAGTTTCGGTTGCATCGTTTTATTTTCTGTTTACAAACCTAACGACAGGTACCAAATTGCAATTCTCCATGACTTGCAAGCACTCCAACTCAACCAAATTGCTGAGTCAGATGGTACGCTAAATCCGCATGGGCCCACATGTTGAATGATTTCTTTTACGAGCAACGAAAGAGTGGTTTTGCTTATTTAAACAATTGGACAGTAAGTCAATAATTGATCTTTCTAAACAAAACCAGCAACTCCTTGCTTAAAAGGAAAAAAAAATGAAGAAACCAGCAGAAAGGATTTATATTTTCCACCCGAGTCACAGCAAAATAGAGGAACTGTGTTCAGTGATGAAAAAAATTACCCAGCTGAAGGTAAAAGCTAAGGAGAACGAGGCCTTGAAAGCACTTACTGCTAACTTATTAGTTATGTTCATTCAATACCCCGTAGAAAGTTTGGTTTAGGAGAGGTAAAAGGTGGTTCCATGATTCATCAAAGTACAAATTAAAGCAAACTTCGACCCAACTCCATAGTTTATTCTCGGATGGAAAATATAAATTTTGTTGTTGGTTTATTTTCTCTTTTAAACAAGGAGCTGCTAGTTTTGTATTAGAAATACCAATTACTCTCCAATTGTTTTAATATAAGCAAAGACTACAACATCATCGCAGGATTGCATAATAAGGAGAGTTAGCATGAACCAGAAGTTGAGGGAACAAATAGGAAATGAAATTGATGAAAATGAATAATCCGTCAAGGGCAAATGTAGAGGTGTAGTATTTTACTACACGTTGTCGATTTGCAGCTTGTCCGGTTGTCTTGTTTTCCACGTCACTTAGTGTCCTTATTGTGCAAGGACGTTTTGGCTGTGTGGTGTTAGGGTTGGCCGCCTAGTGTTTGGGTATAAAAGCTTAGATGTAGTCGTTGTAAACAGCAAGCTAGAAAGCCGTCAAGTCGTTAATAATAAATTGTCGTCAGTCGAGAGCTCGGTTGAGCTCTCCGTGGATTAGTCTTGTTCACATCGAACAAGGATAGCACGTAAATCCGTGTGTTGTGTGATTGTTTACTCTTCCACGTTCTTGTTTTCTTCATGGTATCAGAGCCAGTGTTCTGATCCGCGCACCTATTAGCTCCCGTTTTCATCTTTGTTCCACGAGGAGATCATGGCGAGCGAGGAGTCTGGTATGAAGGAAGAAGGGAAGAAGCCGATTGTTTCACCAGAAGAAATCGGCCCGATGTCACCCCTCTTCCTACACCCGTCTGATGCACCGAGTCAGGTGTTTGTTGGGGATCTACTCACGGACTTGAACTATGGCGAATGGTCCGCCGAGATGTCCAATGCCCTAATTGCAAAGAACAAGCTGGGTTTTGTCCTTGGTAACGTCGAGAAGCCATCGAGTGGTGATCGTCTTGGATTATGGGTTCGCTGCAATGCGATGGTTTTTGGATGGTTGCATCAAGCCATGTCCAAAGGAATCTGAAGCAATCTTAGCACTAGCTTCATGGCAAAGAAGATCTGGGATGAGCTGCTGGAGCGCTTTAGCATAGGAAATCTGTTGCGCCGATACAAAATTCGACACCTACTGGTTGCGTTGCGTCAAGATCGATTGAGCGTGTTAAATTTTTATGCGAAGCTCAAAAGACTATGGGATGACTGGTTGATGCTTGATCCTCTGGCCAAGTGTACTTGTGGAAATTTCTCTAGCAACGTCGAGCAACGAACACAGGAGTCGAATGAGTCCATGAAGTTGCTAGACTTCCTCGTTGGGCTCGATGATAATTTTGCCACCGTACATACTCATCTACTGTCCATGAAGCCTCCTCCGAGTCTTTGGGAGGCCTATCATGTTGTGGCCAATGACTAGCAACAGCGCACAATCACCCATGATCAACGTCCCAAGGTTGAAGCCCAAAGTGGGAGCGTCTTTCCCTCGATGAGCGCACAACGGATGGGCGCCCAAAGTGCTCTCACTGCGGCAAACTAGGTCACCTCAAGGCAAATTGTTTTGACATCATTGGTTGGCCGCCACAGTCAGGTGAGAAAGAAGAGCGTCCACATCGACAACCTCAAGGACACCAGTGGTGAAGTGAAACGCAAACAGCAGCCGTTGAGACGTCAGAGCTCTCCATACCCGGGCTGACTTTAGAGCAAGTGGCTCAATTGAAGGCTTTTCTCAATTCAGAACCGAGAGCAGCGGCGACTTCTACGTTCGATGTGTTATAGATTCTAGATGTAATGAACACATTGCAAAGTATAGCGTGTTGTTTGATGGCGAGTTGGATACCAACTCGGCCTTACAGGTTTGGATTCTGAATGGCAAAGGAATACCGGTTATAGGAAAAGGTGTTTTCAAACTAATGAATGGATTAACCCTTTGTCACGTCTTACATGCTCCTGAATTCATGTGCAATCTCTTGTCCGTTAGTCGTCTTACGGTAGACCATCCTATCACCGTAATTTTTCTCATTAACTTCTGTGTGATACAAGACTTAAACTCTAGAGAGATGATTGGTATGGGTAAGCATGTTGATGGGTTGTACTACCTGCGGGTTTTCAAGGAAGGACACCCAGTGGCTTTCTCGGCGAAGTAGGCAGTTAAGGAGTCCACATTATGGCACACGAGACTCGGTCATCCGTCACTAGCAAAGCTCATGTCATTATAGCCTCGTATTTCTAGTACTTTTGTCGTCCGTAAAGAACCATGTTTGTCTTGTTTACGAGCTAAATAGACTTGTTTTGAGCTTATTCACGTGGATATTTGGGGAGGTTATGATTAGGCTTCATTTTCAGGAGCACATTATTTTCTCACTATTGTGGATGATTTCAATCGTACTATATGGGTATATTTGTTAAAACAGAAGTCCGAGGTAGCTCATTATTTGTTACTCTTTTGCAATCAAGCTTGAACGTAGTATGGGGTCAGGTCAAGTGGATTCAAAGTGACAATGGTCGTGAGTTCAACTGCCAAGAATTGCGCGATTACTATGAGAAGGAAAGTATTATTTTGCAGACATCATGCACAGATACGCCTCAACATAATGACGTTGTAGAACGTAAACATCGGCACTTGTTGGATACTGCGAGGGCACTTCGGTTTCAGGCAGGACTTCCACTTCAGTTCTGAGGATAATGCATCACCACTGATGTTCCTATCTCATCAACAGAATGCCTCTCACAACCATCAAGAACCAAAACCCATTCGAGGTCCTTCTCGGTCGAAATCCTACATACGACCATCTTCGCACCTTTGTTTGTTTGGTCTATCCGAAGGATACTCACTCCCATCTCTCCAAGTTTGTAGCTCGAGGGAAACCGGGTATCTTCGTCGGTTACCCTGCACAGCAACGTGGGTTCGATTTTTTGACATTGACAGTCGAATGATCTATACGTCGCGTGATGTTTTCTTCCTGGAGGAAGTGTTTCCCTTCTGCAACATCACATCCGTACCCATCTCTCACACACTGCAGAGCTCCTCGTCGTGGCTCCATGATGATGATGATGATGATGCGAAAGCATATGATACTGACCTCTTTGACATGGTTCAAGTAGTCACCGCGTCACTTGATGACTCGGACATTCCCAATGAACCAGCACAGAGTTCATCGTCCCCATCAATGGAGTCTGGAGAAACTTCACCGACGTCTTCGGGTTCGTCTAGTCCTGACAAAACTTCTTCATTGTCCTCTGACTCGTCTAGTCCTACATCGCAATCTTTGAGTGATAGTCCTCCCACTTCACTTCTAGCAGCAGGTGTGGTGGAGCCCACTCCATGTTGTCAAATTCATCGGCCAC